CTCCAAGACCCATCTGTTTGTTCTTTTGGCCGTCCTTGGGATGTGCAGTACTCCTCTCCAACACCACAGCTCAAAGACATCAATTCTTCTGTCATCTTTATTTCCTGTTCGGCTCTCAAATGCAGCCCACCTCTGACACTGCTAGACAGCCAGGGAGATCTGGGGAGGACTTAGTCACCACCCCACCTCAGTAATCCATGGGCTGTTCCCGAGAGACCAGCTGCCTCCCCTAAAGATGGAGACAAGTCTGGAGATGAACAGAGATCCACCTAGGGAGGCCCAGCATCCCAGACAATCCCGGCCCCAGTTCGAGCCCTGACTGCACCACTCACAAGCTTTGTGAAGCCGGACAAGCTACACAGCCTCCTCATGTCCCATTTTACTCACCCATGAAAGGAGAAGACAGAAGAGAATCTCCTACCCGGGAGTGTCTCAAGTTCAATGAGGTAATGTGCATGAAACCCTTAGCATCAAGCCTGGAACGCCGGTGGCTTAGCGAGTAGGGAGTTGCGCTGTCAGCCCAGAGGCACATGGTTCAAATCCATCAGCTAGCTGCACTGAGGGAGAAAGATGAACAGTCTTCTCTGGTGCAATTTAATAGCCTCTGAAATCCCAAAGGAGGGTCAGCTGAGTCAATTCTAATTAAATGGCAATGAGGTTTTTGGGAGCTCTGGGTAAGGAGACCTAGGGGGTAAGAAGCTGCGCTGCAAACGCAAAGGCAGGTAGTTCAAATCCACCAGCTGCTCCAAGGGAGAAAGACAGGCAATCTCTTCCTGTGTGAGTTACAGCTTCTAAAAAACTTGGTGAGTCAGCTCTGAATTGGTTCCAGCTCGCTAACAAGAACCTGGCTATGAAGAGTCTCACTGCCAATCCAAAGGCTCGTGGTTCAAATCCATCAGCTGCTCAGTGGGGAAAAGATGAGCAATCTCCTTCCGTGTGATTTACAGCCTCTAAAAACCTGCTAGATCAACCGAGTCGGTTCCTACTCCACAGCACACAGCAATAAACATTAGCTCTAGTTGTTCTTTGCTGTGTATTGATTCCATTACAGAAGTGCTACCGTGAAGACATGGTCAGCACTAATCAGCTTTCAGTAGGGAATTCAGTAGGATAAACTAACAGTTAGGGAGTGATAAGGGTTTTTTGAGCTGGGCTTTGTTGTATGCACAGGAGTTAGCTGGGCATGGTTACAGCTTCAGGGGCAACAAGCCTCTTCTGAGAACCCCTCCTCCTAATTCTTTTCTTGACAAGAAATTGAAGCTCACAGAGATTTATAAATTGAGACTGTTTGGGTTTCATCTCACATTCATTGGGCATGTTGGTAGGAGAGACTATTCCTTGAAAAGGGACATCATGCTTGGGAAGGTGGAGGGCCAGTGAAAGAGAGGACGACCCTGGACAAGATAGGTTGACACAGTGAAGGTGGCAATGGGCTCGAGGGCATCAGAGATGAGCGATGGGACAGGGTTCAGCTATGTTGTTCACAGAGTCACCGTGAGTCGTCCTTGACTTGATGGCGCCTTAACAACACTATTCTGAGGATTAGATTATGAAGATGAAATAAAACCCACAGCATTAGGGGAGCTCTGGTGGCCTAGTGGCAAGGAGCTGCAACTACAATCCCAGAGTTACACGGTTCGAATCCACCAGATGCTCTGCCAGGGAAGGAGGGACAATCTACTCCTGTACCAGTCAGATCTGATTTGACAGTACACACACAAAAAAATAGTAAAATTTAAAACAAACAAAAAAAACCCACAGCATTAAGGGAGCTGTGGTGGCCTAGTGGCAAGAAGCTGCGCTGCAATCCGGAAGGTACGCAGTTGGAATCCACCAGATGCTCAGCCAGAGAAGGAGGGTCACTCTCCTCCTGTGCCAATTGGATCCGATTTGACAGTACCCAACAAGGAAAAAAAAAATGTGCCAAGAGCTGGAGTCAGAAAATCAAAAGGGATGAACTCGCTCAGCATTTCTTTAATTTTTTTTTTTAATGTAGCCTTTTCTCCAGGAGATGTATCTTTGTCCCAAGTGGTTTTGTTTGATTTTTCAATTAAGGTTGAAAGTATGCACAACAAAACACACCAGCTCCACCATTTCTACACAATTCAGTGGCAGTGCGGCTGCGTCCTTGCAGCCATGCATGGGTACCACATCCTCACCCTCCTTTGTGGAGGGGTTCCTATCTAGCCATACTGAGGGGGGAACGGGCTACTGGTGGCGGCCTAGTGGTACGGCGTTGCACTGCTATGCACGAGTGGCCCACAGGAATGGGGAATCTCCTGCTGTCGAATTTGTTGTTGTTGTGTGACATCAGGTCAAAACCGACCCATAGCTGACCCTCCGGCGGGTTTTCAGAGGCGGTTAATCGCACAGGAGGAGATTGCTCGTCCTTCTCCCTTGGATTTGTACCTCCTGTGGGATTGACTGCCTTTGAAAACCAGCTGGAGGTGCAGCTGAGTCCGGAATCGGTTCACACAGCAACACTGGCTGTGGGTCTCATTCTACACACAGAGATCTTCAGAAGAGCGTGATGCTAAAGTTGGCGCAAAGTTTTGCCTATTTCTTTTTTTCTTTTTTTTTTTTTTGGGGGGGGGGAGAATTCAGGCTCCAGACTACAGCCACCAGGTGAATCTCTGGCGTCACGGTGGGAATTCTCCTAGCCCCAGGGGGAAGCTGCTCTGTGGCTGTGGCAGGGTCTCCCAGGTGAGTCTGGGGCGCCCCACCTCGGGGACACCTCCAGCTCCACTCTTCCCCAAATCCCAGGCCCCTGCAGTCGTTCGTTCCTCGAGCCTCTTCTCAGCCCCCGCGCTGGCTCTGAGCCCCGCTCCTTCCCTTCAGCCCCTCCGTGTTGCGCCAGGAGCCCCAGGCCCTCCTCCAACTCCAGTCCCTCCCTCTGCCCGTGCCCCCCCCTTCCACCCCGGAGCTTCGAGGTGCAAACGCACCCTCC